AGCTAGGACAGCCAGATGGCTGGATCTCTTCCATCCTGTGGCCTTTCTTTCAGGGCGTTTACTGGCATGGGGGACTCAGAGCAGAGTCCCAAGGCAGCGGAAATGAAAGCTGCAAGAGCTTTCAAGGTCAGGCTCTAGAACTTGTGCACAGACCTTCTATCCTGTCCTATTATTCAAAGCTAGTTCCGTTAAGCTTCGTGCATGTTTAAACCATGTTGGCCTTTTCACAGCTGTGCCATTGGTGCCCAGAACACGCCCTGGCACATAGAATATTTGCTGATATAAATGAGATTATCACAGTGAATTTTTCTAGCACTAGCATAGTGTCTTATACATCAAAGTTCCCTAAATGAGGGCTATTATTGTATAGCTTTCCCAGGGGAGATAAATAACATAAATATTATTATTTTTTAAATGTTTATTTATTTATGTATTTATTTTGAGAGACAGAGACAGAGCGTGCGAGGGGCCTGATGCAGGGCTCAAGCTCATCAACTGTGAGATCATGACCTCAGCCAAAATCATGAGTCAGATGCTTAGCTGACTGAGCCACCCAGGTGCCCCTGTAGATATTTTTAAGCGTATTTTTTTTTTTTTTTTTTTAGTAATCTCTCACCCAATGTGGGGCTTGAACTCACAACCCCAAGATTAAGAGTCATACTCTCCACTGACTGAGCCAACCCAGTACCCTAGACGATCTGCTATTTCTAAGGAGACCTCAGATTTCCGCGGAATGAGCACAGAAGGATCTTCATTGTTCTCTCCAACCTATCGCCTGTTTCTCTATCTGGTACTCAGTAAATTGCCGGAGACACATGTTAACGGAGAGGCAGTAGACGATAAGGATGAAACAGGTGGTCATGGAGTTCAAGTCCTAGTTCAGCCTCTCACTAGCTATGAGACCTTGCATGAGTCATCTAAACCCTCTGCTTTTGTTTCCTCTTTCAGAAAACAAATATAATAGTGTAATAGCACATATTTTTTGAGACTGACAAAAGAATTCAATGGGTTAATACTGCTGGCACGCAGTTACTGTTACATAAAAGTGTATTATTATAAGTAACCTGTGGGGCCTGACTTCAGTTTCCAGGAGCCACTTTTTTACGGTGTACAACATAGACTTTTCAGAGGTGTCCTCTGTCTCGGCCAACAGCCTTCAGAGAATCAGGAAGCCACTGAGATGAGCTGTGAACAAACGAGAAAGCAATCTTGCCCAGTTCATGGTCGGGTAGCTTTAACTCACCAATTTCTAATTTCGTATATAGTGTTTAGATTTTCAACGGTGGTTTTCTATTGGTATGAACCGAGGATGCCTTTGATGGGGAAGACAACTTTATAGGCTTAAATAGAAAAATTATGTTATCTAGCATGGAGCTTTCCGTTATGACATTATTGCTATTTTATTATGGAAAATTTCTAACATATTCAAGAGGAGAGAAAATAGTAGCACCAACCCCTGTATCCATCATCAGGCGGTGTGAGAACCTCATCAGGGGCGCCTGGCTGGCTCAGTCAGTTAAGTGTCCGACTTCGGCTCAGGTCATGATCCCACGGTTCGTGGGTTCAAGCCCCACATCGGGCTCTGTGCTGACAGCTCGGAGCCTGGAGCCTGCTTCAGATTCTGTGTCTCACTCTCTCTCTGACCTTCCCCTGCTCACACTCTGTCTTTGTCTCTCTCTCAAATAAAAAATTAAAAATTATGGGGCACCTGGGTGGCTTAGTCGGTTAAGCGTCCGACTTCGGCTTAGGTCATGATCTCGCGGTTCGTGGGTTCGAGCCCCGCGTCGGGCTCTGTGCTGACTGCCAGCTCAGAGCCTAGAGCCTGTTTCAGAGTCTGTGACTCCCTCTCTCTCTGACCCTCCTCTGCTCACGCTCTCTCTCTCTCCTAGAAATAAATAAAAATATTTAAAAAAAAAAAGAAGTTTTCAGGGAGGAATGTGTGTGAGACACACACCTCTTTCTCTTGCTGATGTTGAGTGCCTCCCTGGGCCCTGCTTTCAAGCTTTATTATTAGGGTGGCCAGGGGAAAGAGGTGTGATAAGGTGAGTAAAATCCCTTCTTGCCCCCTGCGGGCTTGGAGATTTGGAGATGCTGGAAGTGAACATCTCTTGAGTGTTCACCTTGAGCCACTCTGCTCAGTGCTTTTTACTGAAACAACTAGACAGCAAACAAACAGGGGCACCTTTGCGGCTCAAGCGGTCAAGGGTCCAACTCAGCTCAGGTCATGATCTCATGGTTTGTGAGGTCGACACTCCCCCCAGCTCACCCCCCCACCCCATGTTGGGCTCTGCATGGACAACATGGAACCTGCTCGGGATTCTCTCTTCCTCGTTCCCTGCCCCTCCCCTGCTCATTCTCTCCCCCTCTCTCTTTCTCAAAGTAAATAAATAAACATTTAAAAACAAGAAAACAAGGGCGCCTGGGTGGCTCAGTTGGTTAAGCGTCTGACTTCGGCTCAGGTCATGATCTAACCGCTTGTGGGTTCGAGCCCCGCGTCGGGCTCTGTGCTGACAGCTCAGGGCCTGGAGCCTGCTTCCGATTCTGTGTCTCCGCCTCTCTCTGCCCCTCTCATGCTCATGCTCTGTCACTTCCTGTTTATCAATAATAAATAAATGTTAAAAAAAAAAAAAAAACAGGAGCACCTGAGTGGCTCAGTAGGTTGAGCATCTGACTTCGGCTCAGGTTGTGATCTCGCAGTTCCTCAGTTTGAGCCCCACATCTGGGCTTATTGCTGTCGGCACAGAGCCTGCTTCAGATCCTCTGTCTCCCTCTCTCTGCCCCTCCCCCAGGTGTGCCCCCCCCTAAAAATAAATAAACGTTAAAAAAATTAAAGAACATTAAAACATGAAAAATAAACATGTAAAAAACATTAAAAAAGGCAAAAAGAAAAACCAAAACCCAAACTCTTTTGGTGTTTACAACCACCATGGGGGAGGGGTACTATGACTGTGTCCCTTTTAGGGATGTTCAGAGATGTGCCCCGGCTCATGTTAACTGTGGGATGCTTTGAACCTCAATGTCTTTTTTGTTTTTAATGTTTTATTTATTTCTAGGAGAGGGAGAGAGACAGCGTGAGCAGGGCAGGGTCAGAGAGAGAGGGAGGCACAGACTGAAACAGGCTCCAGGCTCTGAGCTGGCAGTCAGCACAGAGCCTGACGCGGGGCTCGAACCCATGAACCGCGAGATCATGACCTAAGCGAAAGTCGGACGCTTAACTGACTAAGCCACCCAGGAGCCCCTGAACCTCAATGTCTTAACCATTAAAAACCAGCTGCCTCAACACGAAGAATGTTCTAGAGAAATAGCAGAAAAAGAGCTCATAGTAATTAGTGAGCCCCTGGGGATTGAGCCTGGGCTGGATGGAAGGGGAAAGGAAAGGGTGTGAGGAGGCTTTTATTTCCTACCTGATACTTGGGCCAGGCAGGTGACAGAAGTAAGCTGTGCTGGGCTCAGAGCCCAGACTCAAAAGCCAGAGCGTACCACCCTACAGTTCAGGATTCTCCCTCCCCGAGTGCAGACAGGATGCTCATAATGCCTACCTCATAGGGTTGCTGTGAGAATTAAGTGAGGTAAGATATTCCCAAAACATTTCAAGCAGTGCTTTGTCACATCGTAAATACTACACACAGCTTAGCTATTCTTACTCTGACCATTATTGGCATTTCCCCATGAATGTGTACTAATTACTTCCAAAATAATGAAAAGAATAAATTAGTTCTTTTAAAAGGCCAACTTCAGTGTCTGGTAAAGTTAGACATATGCCTCCTCTATGACCCAGGAAGCCCACTCTTGGGTTGAGAAAAATGAATGCACTTAACCACCAAAAGAGTTGTTCAAGAATATTCCTGGGGCACCTGGGTGGCTCAGTTGGTTAAGCGTCCGACTTCGGCTCAGGTCATGATCTCACGGTTTGTGAGTTCAAGCCCCGAGTCGGGCTCTGTGCTGACAGTCAGAACCTGGAGCCTGCTTCGGATTCTCTATCTCCCTCTCTCTCTGACCCTCCCCTGCTCACGCTGCCTCTCTGTCTTTCTCAGAAATAAACTAAAACATTAAAAAAATTATAAAAAAAGAAAAAGAATATTCCTAGCAGGGGTACCTGGGTGGCTTGGTTTGAGCGTCCAACTCTAGATTTAGGCTCAGGTCATGATCCCATGATCGCTGGGTGTGGAGCCTGCTTGGTATTCTCTCTCCCTCTCCTTCTACCCCTTTCCCCTGCTTGCACGCATGCGCGCGCTCTCTCTCTCTCTCTTAAAAAAAAAACCCACACAAAAAAGAAAGTTCATAAGAGCTTTTTTTCATAACAGTCTACATTGGAAACAAGCAAATGACCATCGACAAGGCGAAGGATAAGTGATGGTGGCGGGTGGGGGAGTGGAACACTCAATAACACAAACAAATGAACTACCCACGCTTCCAACAGTGAACATGACTGAATCCAAAAAACGGTATTTGAGTGAAAGACACCAGATCCGCACCGGTCGGTTTCAACCTAAACTCCTAGTCCAGGAGTTCATTTTGTGTGGTTCCATTTCTACGAAGGCTGCAAATAGCCAAAACTAAAGGTGACAGAGGTCAAAAGAGTGCTTCGCTGGCTTTGGGAAGGGGCGGAGGGAACCTTCTAGGGACAGAAATGTTTTGTGCTCCAGAGAGCAGGTGGCAATGTCTGGGGACACTTCTGGTGACCACAACTGGTGGAAAGAGTGAGTACTGCTGGCGTCTGGTGGGGAGAGACCAGAGATTCCGCTGAGCAGCTCCCACAACAGACAAGTATCTGGCTCTGTCAACAGTGCTGAGACTAGAAATGTTGTATATGGTTTACAGTGCTTGCACACGATCAAGGAATTTCCCCATCCATGTGGATACTCGCTATTATTAGAGGCAGAATGGGAGTGTCTTACCCTTAGGGTAGAACTGTCGCCAAAAACAAGCTGCCCAACTAGGGATATTTCCCACCCACTCCCCTTTGCATCTGAGTACAGCCACATGATTTGTTCTTGCAGACTGAGTGTGAGCAAAACCAGCATGTGCAAGCTCAGGGCCAGGCAGTTGAGGGACGCGTGTGCACTCTCCGCCCTTTCCCTCCAGCGCTGGATGCAGACCACGTGGAGAGCTGTCAGGCAACTGGCAACAATGTGAACAGGAGGTAGATTTCTCTCATGCAACCCGGAAATGTTGGGGTTTGTTTGTTACAGTGGCTGGTGTTGGTGTAATCGAGTGTTCAGTAAAAAATACAGTCTCTGAATGGCAGGTCTTCCAAGCTGATCTACTAAGGAGGAATTCATCTCACTTGCAAATTCTCGGAGAGCAGGGATCGTATGGTACACATTTTCTTATTCCCTCATGATACTAAGCACCATGTTCGTCCTTCCTTCCTTCCTTTCCTTTTTTCTTTTTTTTTTTTTTTAATTTATGTTTTATTTATGTTTGAGAGAGACAGAAAGACAGCGCATGAGTGGGGGAGAGGCAGAGAGAAAGAGAAATACAGTATCTGAAGCAGGTTCCAGGTTCTGAGCTGTCAGCACAAAGTTCCACGTGGGGCTTAAACTCACAAACAGCAAGACCATAACCTGAGCCAAAGTCGGACACTCAACCAACTGCTCCTTCCTTCCTTCCTTCTTTCTTTCCTTCCTTCCTTCCTCTCTCTCTCTCTCTCTCTCTTTCTTTCCTTCTTTCTCTCCTTCTCTCCTCTCCTTCTCTCCTGGTCTCTTTCTCTCTCCCTTCCTTCCTTCCTTCCTCTTTCTCTCTCTCTCTCTCTCTTTCTTTCTTTCTTTCTCTCCTTCTCTCCTCTCCTTCTCTCCTGGCCTCTTTCTCTCTTCCTTCCTTCCTTCCTTCCTTCCTTCCTTCCTTCCTTCCTTCCTTCCTTCCTCTTTCTCTCTCTCTCTCTCTCTTTCTTTCTTTCTTTCTTTCTTTCTTTCTTTCTTTCTTTCTTTCTCTCCTTCTCTCCTTCTCTCCTGATCTCTTTCTCTCTCCCTTCCTTCCTTCCTTCCTCCCTCCCTCCCTCCCTCCCTTCCTCCAAAGTCATATGGCTCCATGGATTGGCAGAGCACTTAAGTGTCTTTTTGTAATCTTTCTAGGCACTATGAACCACAAACATCAATTCCTACACTATCCTATCTTGTGTTTTGGGGTAGGGTATACCTTACCCAATGTTCTGACGTTGGGTTCTGATTGGCTAAAGTCAACTGATACATTTTCTTTTCCCTAGCCTCAGTGTTTGGTTCACAGATGAGCACATAACCAAGTCAGAGCCAATGAGATATAAAATATTAGCTGAGGCTCCTGAAGGGAAACAATTCCTTCTCTTTAGATAGAGAGAGAGAGCCCTGAATATACCTCTCTGTTCTTCCAGGTGGTGGTGTAGGTTTGTGAGACTTCCAGTTACTGTAATAATTTAGCTACCAAGAGGGCAATGCTTGGGACTGTCAAGAAGCCACAGGGAGATAGAGTTCCCAGGGGCTCAAGCAATGTTAGGACCTAAGTTCTTCCTGCGTTTCCTCTCTGCATCTTTCAACATGTTAGTTTTTTTCGCTTGTGGCAAAATAATGCTTGTGATTCCAGACATTCAGGTCACAATGTCATGCATCTCTGTTATTGAGAAAAACCTTTCTCAGAAGTGCTCAGCAGATCTTTCCTCTTGTCTTGATGCTCCAGAGAGTATCACATAACAGTGCCCAACCCAATCCCTGGCAAGTGTCTGGATTATCATGATTGGCCCGTTTCCATCTTGATTCTATTCCTCAGGCTGAGGCTGAGACCAGGACCAGCTCCCTGGAAGAACATGGCCACCAGGAGGAAGGGGAAAACCTGATTGCAACCTGAATTCTGATCTAAAGAGGGAGAATTTAAAACATGATAATAAAATACAAAATAAAAGGACTGAATTTTTTTGAGTTGGCCAACAATAAGATATGCAATATATCCTGCCCCTTATTATAGATATTCATATATATGTTATACCAGCCAATTGCAAGAAATCGAAAACCAAGGAGAAAAAAAAAGTTAGGAAAAACGTATCAGCTTGCATATCTCAGAAGTTCAGAGGCTTTCAGCTTCAGGCATGGCTGGATCCAGGCAACAATATCAATAATACTTGGTCTCTCTTTTTGTCTCCTGTCTCTGCTTTCTTAAGTGCAGGCTTTATTCTCAGGCAGAAGCTTATCAAATGATGACCTCAGAAGTTAGGCAACTGTTCCAAGGAATGTTTTTAAGAGTTGAGCCTCAGTGACCTGACTTGGATCACAAGCCCATCCTTGAACCATATCCAAGAGGAATGGAAGATTCTCATTGACCAATCATAAATCTTGTTCCTGCCTCTGAATGAGATTATTACCATATCCATGTAGATTAAGAATGTGGAGTGGAGAGGGCACCTGGGTGGCTTAGCCAGTTAAATGCCTGACTTCGGCTCAGGTCATGATCTCGCGGTCGGTCCGTGAGTTCGAGCCCCGATGTGGTGGGGCTCTGTGCTGACAGCTCAGAGCCTGGAGCCTGCTTTGGATTCTGTGTCTCCCTCTCTCTCGGTCCCTCCCCTGCTTGCACTCTATCTGTCTCAAAAATAAATAAAATAAATAAATGAAAATTTAAATATGTTTAAATAAATAAAAAAATTTTAAGTAAAATAAATAAATAAGCAAATTTTAAAAATGCAGCTTTTTTTTTTTTAATATTTTTTTATTTATTTCTAGGAGAGAGAGAGACAGCGTGAGCAGGGGAGGGTCAGAGAGAGAGGGAGACACAGAATCTGAAGCAGGCTCCAGGCTCTGAGCTGGCAGTCAGCACAGAGCCTGATGCGGGGCTCGAACCCACGAACCGTGAGATCATGACCTAAGTGAAAGTCGGATGCTTAACCGACTAAGCCATCCAGGTGCCCCTAAAAATGCAGCTTCTGATTCAGCACTTGTGATTTGGACCCTGAGGGCCTACATTACTGTGGACCACACGTTGAATAGCATGGAGTCAAGTGCTTCCTGGATATTATCTCAGCTTTCCAGAGGAAACCGCAATTGAGTTAAGGAAGAAAAGCAGATCATATACACTTTCCTTTTTAAAGAAATTTAGATTAGAAGTCGAGTCAATTTAAATTAAAAAAAATATATTAAGTAAATAATAATCAGGTAGTTTGTGGCTGTGGCAAAAATCCCAAAGGCCTCGTGTGAGTGACTCAGCTTTGGGGAATGCTGGTACAGCCAGAAGCTCTTCTAGAGCTTTCTTTTGCCTGAACGAAGCTGAACCCAAATTCCTTGCATGAAAACTAGCACTTGAGAAAGAAATCTCTAGATTTCGGCAGCTACCAGCTCCGGGTGGTGCTTCAAAATCCAAACGGCCTTTATTCGGGGCTCTTTTCAACCTGGGAGGGGGGCAGCTATTTTTTCAAAACGAGACCTTCATTTTTGGAAGAGGAGGCCCTGTGTACACTAATTGCCAGTTACAAGAACCAAGTGGCCAGGATGTCTGGGTTTTGAAGTCTTGCAAAACCTACTTATACAAGCTGGCAACCCCGGCAAGACCCTGGAGTGGCATCCAGAATCCACGGCCTTGGAAGATCCCAGGGTGTTTATTTACAGAAAGTTTGCCCTTGCTGACCAGGCCCTGGAAACCCCACTCCACACTGGAAAGGCGGAGCGTATGTCCCTGAGCCTCCTTTCTCGCCTCATCCAGGAACCGACCCCGAATTCCAAGGAGCCGAGGCTCATGTCACCTTGAACTTTTCATTTACCCCTGGCACGTCACATATTCATCTCAGGGGATTGGGCAAGGCAGAGACTAGCTCTGGAGGGGAAGTCCAAGCAGGTGGCTCCGTCGCTTAAGCATCCGACTTTGGCTCAGGTCATGACCTTGAGGTTCATGGGTTTGAACGCCGCCTCTCACTCTGTGCTGACAGCTCAGAGCCTGAACCTGCTTTGGATTCTGTGTCTCCCTCTGTCCCTGCCCCTTTCCCACTCATGCTCTGTCTCTCTCTCTGTCTCAAAAATAAATAAACATTAAAAATAAATAAATAAATACAAATCTTAAAAAAAGAGAGAGATCATACGGAGTGATGCCTTGTACACTTTGCCTATCACCCCCCTCCCCCGTGATAACGTTATACAACTCTTTAGTATAAATCACATTCAGGTTATTGACACTAATACACTCCACCAACCAGTCTCGTTCAGATTTCCCCAGTTTGACTTGTACTCATTTGTACAAGTGTGTGTGTGCATTAGTCTGTAAAATGTTGACATCTGTGGTTGTGTACCTGGTGTCCCAGTCAAGTTGCTGAGCAGGGTTTTTTGGTTTTAAGTTTATTTACTTAGAGAGAGAGAGAGAGAGAGAGAGAGAGAGAGAGAGACCCTGAGCAGGTGAGGGGCAGAGAGGAGAGACAGAATCCCAAGCAGGCTCTACACCATCCACACAGGGGGCTCAAATTCACGAACCGCAAGATCATGACCTGAGCCAAAGTCAGACGCTCAACCGACTGAGCCACTCAGCTGCCCCCATTTTTTCCTTATTTTAGATGGGAAAGAGCTATACCCAGCTGGGAAGATTTGGGTCTTCCTTTAGGGCGATCAGCTACCTTGATTTTCCTAGGACTGAGGTGGGGTGGGGGTGGGGGTTCTGGGATTCAGCACTTACCTAAAACCAGTTAAGTCCCAGGCAAACCAGGATGACTGGTCACCCTCATCCCAGCCTGAATTTGGAGGGAAAGGGTGATTTTCTTTTCTTTTCTTTTTAATATTTTAATTTATTTTTGAGAGAGAGACCGAGCACAAGCAAGGTAGGGGCAGAGAGAGGGGGAGACACAGAATCTGAAGCAGGCTCCAGGCTCTGAGCTGTCAGCACAGAGCCCGATGGGGGGGTCGAACCCATGAACTGTGAGATCATGACCTGAGCCGAAGTCAGATGCTTAACCAACTGAGCCATCCAGGCGCCCCAGGAAAGGGTGATTTCCAAGAGAAAAAGATGAACAGCAGCAGCAGTTCTTGCAGATGCTTTTGGCTTGTTCTTTTTCCCCTAAACGACTGGAAAGCTCTGCACACACACAGTGGTTCTTCACCTTAAGTAACCCAGCAGCCTCCTCCTCAGAACAGGAGCCCCATCTGACCTGGGTCCATAGGGTCACCATCGCGTCCAGGAAATGGATCATGAACATAAAACTCTTTTCTCCTATACCTCTTCTTCCTAAATGTCCCTAACTGTCCCAATCAAGTTTTTCATGCCTGCTTTTTTTTTTTTAATTCAGGATTCAAGAACTGCATATTGCATTTTATGGTCCTATCTCCTACTGGAAGTAGATTTCATTCTCTTTCAAGACAGTGATTGTTGTTTTGTTTTGTTTTGTTTTCAGAGTCTAGGGCAGTTCTACAGAATGTCCCAAAATTTGGCTTTGCCTGATTGTTTCCACGTGTTTTTTAATGTTTATTTATTTTTGAGACAGGGAGAGACAGAGCACAAGCGGGGGAGGGGCAGAGAGAGAGGGAGACACACGGAATCTAAATCAGGCTCCAAGCTCTGAGCTGTCAGCACAGAGCCTGACGCAGAGCTCGAACCCACCAACCATGAGATCATGACCTGAAGCTAAAGTCAGACACTTAACTGACTGAGCCACCCAGGCGCCCCAAAACAAGTTTTTTTTTAATGTTTATTTATTTTTTAGAGACAGAGAGAGGTAGTGTGAGCAGAGGAAGGGCAGAGAGAGAGAGGGAGACACAGAATCTGAAGCAGGCTCTAGACTCTAAGCTATCAGCACAGAGCCTGATGCAGGGCTCAAACCCATGAACCATGAGATTGTGACCTGAGCCAAAGTCAGACACTTGACCAACTGAGCCACCCAGGCACCCCAAGTTTTCAATTTTTAACAGGTGACAGTCCAACCTTTCGGAAGGGAAAATATTGAAATCACTGAGAGGGGAAGTACCTTGGCCTGCGTCATATCTGCTTCTTAGTTGGTAAACCCAGGCTCAAATTTTGGTCTCTATTTCCTTCTACATCTATGTGGTTCATCAGCATTCTGTGTTTTTTTTATGTTTATTTATTTATTTTGAAAGAGAGAGAGAGGGAGAGAAGTGGGGGAGGGGCAGAGAGAGAGCCGGAGAGAGAGAGAACTGAAGCAGGTTCTGTGCCATCAGCACGGAGCCCATGTTGGGGCTCGATCCCACGAACCGTGAGATCATGACCCGAGCTGAAATCAGGAGTCAGACACTGAACCCACAAAGTCACCCAGGTGCCCCCAGCCTTTTGTGTTTTTAAAAATGGACTCCACTCCCCCCACCAACCCCCATCGTGTGCTTTTTTTTGGTCAGAATTCTGCTAAAAAAACACACACACACACTTTTTTTCCTTATTATTTTTGCACACAACTCAGTTTTCTCCAACAAGGCCTGAACTGCTATTGTTTGCCACAAACTTCTTTGCATCCAATCCTTCCTCTTTTCAAGATAAGGCCTGTTTTTCCCAGGGCCTGGAGGACCACACCTACCAGAGCTGTTCCAGGCACGTACAGCATTGTTTTCCTTTCTCTGATAAGCTTCTTTTGCGGAAAGCACTCCCTTTGTCTCCTACCTGCTCTGAGATTCACTTTTATTTCCATGTGATGGGGTGGCCAGTTCTGTTAGCGCGCCGGTAATTATCCCTGGGCCGTACGGACCTGAGAGCCATTTCACTGACCATCTGCAGAACCATGGCTTAGAGCGAAGGCTCTAAAGCTTGAACACACATCAGAACCATTTGGACGGCTAGTGAAATCGTAACTGCTGGGCCATAGCTCCAGGATTTTTGATTTAGGGGCGCCTGGGCGGCTCAGTTAAGTGCCCAACTCTTGGTGTCAGCTCAGGTCATGATCTTGTGGTTAGTGAGTTCTAGCCCTGCATCGAGCCTGCTTGGGAGTCTCTCTC